TCATAACCACCACAGCAGCATGTTTTCATACTGACAACACCTAGCTTAGCATCATTAAGCAACACTAGGGCTGTGGCAGGTTATCATCAGTTTAGGCAGGCGCATGAACACGAGAAAACAAAGCTTGTAAGAAAATGGAGACCTGACCAGAGCAAAGAGTAGCTTAAAGTCGTGTACACAGCGGTGATGGGGCAGATGGCTGAACTTGACTCACCTGCACCACTAGGGCTTAACAAACATCTACATCTAATATGGACAGTAAATCAGGTCTTCTTCTGAGTGTGCTCAGAACAGAGACATTTAATAAGCCTTTACAAGATAGGGAATAAGTGACAACAGGATCTCTGAAGCATCCGCTGAGAATCAATGCAGCCGTGGACCACGAGGCGTTGGTCTTTATCAGCACAGCTTGTGCACAGCAGAGACCTTGTGTCTGTTTGGCACATTTACCACAGATAGATCCAGTCATGTACTGTACAGAAGGTGTTACTGGGAAACAGGAGCAGCGCCCTCATGTACATCTGGGTTTTTTGCAGCGATGCTGCACTTCACTGACTGGGACTGAACGAATAACTGAGATTTGAAACAGTGCAAATATGAAAGGCTGCCGTTGTTGTGTTGTGCATCTGCTCCAGGGTTTAAGCTGTTGTGTCAAATTCATGTCGTCCTTGTGTGACAGCCTCTTTTTTGATGGTATGGGGTAGCGGTCCAGCACACGTTTTTACTGGATTGTTATTATATTATTCCTGGATTAGATATTTTCTAGCCCACTGTGTTGAGCCCTATCACTAGCTGTACTACGTGGTTAAATTGTGCAGAATCAAATTGCCAGCTATGGTATGTGATGTGTACGTATTTGACCTGAGGCTGTATGATACAGAGGCACTGAAAGCAGGCAGCAGTTAGAGTCATTATATATGATCATCATTTATGGCTGATGATTTGAAATAAGCTCATTCAGGCTGTTGGAGGGGATGTATCTCTGATGGATGTGGAGCGGTGTGACAGCTCAGTTCATGACGACAGTCAGTGGATCAGCCCACACTGTTTATTGTCCTTCTGCAGCTCAGGTTGTGTTTTATAATATTCTGCACCTGTGTGAGCTGCCTGCTGTCTGAGGTGCTGATGGGAGCTGCCAGCGATGCAGGAGGCATCAGGATAACTGGTGTCTCTGATACACTGGCAGGCATTAGTTCTAATGCAAACAATGATGGGATTTTGTCTATTTGGCTTTTCAGACATTCTGGACATCCTGTAAGTGCTGTTTTGGGAGCTCGGTAGTGAATTCTGGCCACACCTCTGCTGTTTTGTTTTCATCGTGTTGGCGTCTGTGTGGCTATCAGACTGTGGCGCTGTCTCAGACTGATTCTTCATCACATCACATCCCAGCGTATGAAACACCGCGGCATGAGCTGGCTGTGAAAATGCACAAAATCTAATGTGTGTCCAGTGAGTTTGAATATCAGGTCATCCACCTGCCGTGCTCCACATTTGTGTGTCTAAGAATCTTCTCTAACTTAACTCGTCTTTTTGATTAGTGTCTCCAAACAACCGAAGCAGCTTCCATGGCTGAAATCTTTAATTTATTGGAGCCTGTATAATTGATGGTTTCCTAACATTCTGCGTGCTTCATGTATCTTCATGGATTTGAATGTGTGACAGCTTACCGTAAACTTTGGCACTGCTGGAGAATGTTTTTGTAATGTGCTTACAGTCTACAGTCAAAAAATGTTTATTTGGACACTTTATGAAGTGAAGGACTGAACAAGAAATGTGTGTAAATGTTTGAGTCCTTGTGAAGGAGAGCGCTGGATGTCGTCTGTTTAGATGATAGGACTGAACCACAGAATGGGATTTACACCGTCAGAGGCCGTTCCTCTGAAATGATTATTCTGCTTTATTGTTGTTGTTGTTTTTTATTATACAATGAAAACAATAGAGGGGACGGTCCATCTCTATCCCCTACGGGATGAAAGGGAAGGTGTGCAGCAGAGGAGAATTTAAAACCTGGTTTGTGGTGCTTCAGCAGAATGAATGCGTTTGTTCAATGAGGAGCAGAGAGAATCGAGCTGAGGGACGCTGGAACTCCAAACAATATGCGCAAGACGAGGGTGTCATGCGTTCTGTCAGCACCGAGGAACTTCGGGGAAACCAGTGAATTTTTCATTTAATAAATGGTCTGAACGTTGAGATGCATCTGCGTGGACTCTGCTGCCTGTTGTGTTTAGATTGCAGGGATGTGTGGATGAAGGAAGTTCATCAGCTCCACTGGCTTCCATGAAGGGACCCGAACACACAGTGACGTATACACAGCAGCAATAACCACCTATTTCTAACACAACCCAGGAAAAAACAAGATTTGATGAGAATTTAGCTGCTTTACTTTAGTTTAACCACTTTAGATTATTTATCATGCACAAGTAAGAATTTTGACGTTCATACAGAAATGAAAGACAAATAAACACACAGATGAAAATATCGAAGGATAACAGCGTCATCTCACGAGAACCAGAAACAATCAGCTCAACTGCTGCTGCTGAGGTTCCTGGTGGCTGACCTGGACCAGGTGTCACTGAACGCCAGCCTTCACATGCAGTCTGGCTCGTTCAGACTGCGAAACCAGTCTTGCTAGGGCAACCTTTAGTCCCACCAGCTACAGCCTCCACAAGGGGGAGGTCTACGGGTCGAGACCGAGCTGAGGAGAGGCCAGACAGCCGTGGACGAGCACGCCTCGGGAGACCTGCACAGAAGCCACGTGGAGAACGATGGAGGGCAACGGAGCTCCGGTACCAGGTTAGAATAAGCTGTTAGGTCTGAGCTTGTTGCTTCTTTTTCCATGCGATCCAAAACTCCCCTTCCCGTCGTCGGCTCCTGTCGTGTAGGAGCACGCTGTGGTTTGCTCAGACTTTGTTTTGTTGAGTGATTTCACAGCTGTTTGCCTTTTATGTACTGGAGTGAAACAATCGAACCACATCTCACAGAACACTGCCGGTACATGTCTCCATTGGCTTGTTCCATCTCCAATCATCAGGGGTCTTCTACTTTACAAGCTTCTTTATCATAAACTTTGGCTATTTAGATTGTATCTGCATCATTTTAACTGGATGTAAAAAGTGTTTTTTTAATGTTTTTTTTTAAAAGCCCATCAACCCAGTTTAAGCAGGTTCTTCGCAAACTGAAATTTTAAGCTTTATTTGAACAAGATCTGATTAAAAAATAAAGATAAAAGCTTGTCATTATTTCTTATCATGCCATTGATTCAGAATCTGCAATATTGCACCACTAGATCAGGGTTTAATAGGTTTAAATATGAAAGAAATATAAAAAATGAAGCAGTCATGAAAAGTCTGAACTACATGTAGCTCCTTGTCTCAAAAGTACAAAACAAATACAATACTGTTTAATATGACATTTTAAATCACGGACTGCAGGTGTCTCAGTGGTTAGCACCGTGGCCTCACAGCTAGAAGGTCGCCGGTTGGCGTCCCGGTGAGGACACCCGGGATCTTCCTGCGTGGAGTCTCCATGTTCTCCCCGTGCAGCGTGGGTTCTCTCCGGGTTCTCCGGCTTCCTCCCACAGTCCAGAAACATGCTGAGGTTAATTGGTGATTGTAAATTGTCCGTAGGTGTGAATGTGAGTGTGCTTGGTTGTCTGTCTCTAAGTGTAGCCCTGTGATAGACTGGTTACCTGTCCAGGTGAACCTGCCTTCACCCTGAGTCAGCTGGGATAGGCTCCGCCCCCCATGACCCTGGTGAGGATGAAGGTGTAGAGTAAAGTTATTTTTGTTCATCTTTAATAACTGATCAAGCAGGTATGAGGAGATGTACAACAAATACATCACGTAGCTCAAACTAGCACTGCTTCCTCTAAACACAGTGTTTCATACTCAGCTTTGTGAATATTTTCAGAATGTTCATATCAGAAAAATCCATGATGATTTGTTTCTGCCTGTAAAAGTACATCTAAACAGACGCCTTCGGGAAGTGATGTCTTCTGCAGGGATTCATCAAGAAGTAATGAAACTTTGAAGGACTTGAGGAGGAGAATGTTTAGCTCAATAACTTTCTGAAATAAGGGACAGACGACAAAATCAGTGCAAAAAGCAATCCATCCTAAATAAGAGCTCGTCAAAGTTTAAAACTGACAACAAACAATGTTCGGTGTCTTAATGGGTTGTTACGTATGCATTAAAATGGTCTGGAAGGGATGCTGCTTTTATTATTTACTAGATGGATTGGAACAGCATCTGTCAGATAAATAAAGATGAAATGCTATCAGGCTCTGGGACAGACATGGGAGGAGCTGTATTCCATGACAGAGAGGAACAGCCACTGCTGACATTTTCATTTTAAGAACTGATTTTCAGCTTTGGTAAGGAGTGTCATTTCCATGCAGCATTCAGACCCATCTGATCACAACAATAAGAATCCTACTGAAATTAAAAAGTGAAAGTCATGTGGAATAACCCTTTACTGCTGCGGGAGACGGAGAGAAAACAACAGAAAGAGAAGAAAAATGTGTATTTCTCTAAATGTTTGACCTGTTTTCTGGCTCGCCGTTTAGTTTTGCTCCAGCTGCTGCTATTTAGTTTTTCTGCATGTCGCCTTCACTCACTGCAGTTGAACACATCCACTAAGTTGCCTTCTCTAAATGTCAACTCTATTTATTGATTACTACAAAAAAGGCTAAAGCAAAAGGTCTTTCCAAACACCCCCGTGGACATTTACTGAAATTACTGGCAGTATCCTCAGCTGACTCCAAGTGCACAGTTTGCAGCTGTTTGTGCTAAAAGCTAACACACCGCAGTAAGATTAATTGCTCGCAACATCTGCGCTGGCAGCCAGAAGAAACTCTCCCAGATACTTGGGGATCAACCACATTTGGAAAGCGACTCAGATGGAGCGGCTCATCTATGTGCATTCGATTAGAGCAGGAAAACAGTTCATTTACTTGCTACAGGTTGTTTCTGACTGTACAGGATGATTTTCACACGTCAGGATTGTTTTCAAGGTTGTGTTTATTCTTATTTTCCCCAAAGTCCAGCGGATCTCGCCATAATTGTAAATTCAGTACAAAGACACCGGGCTCTCATGTCTCTGGGTAAGACATGGACGATCGCAGCTGGCCAAACTTCAGGATGAAGTCGGCCTGAGCCTGAACTAAAGCTTCCTCATCGATGTACACCGCCGGCCTCTTTGCTGTGACAAAGTACTGCACCTTCCTCAGGGTCCAGCCAAGGACGTACATGAGCAGGCCGCAGACCGCTGCCGTGGACCGGCCCACTCCGGCGTTACAGTGGACATAGACGGTGTGGCCGTTCTCCAGGAGACCATGAAGCAGGAACACGGCCTGAGGAAGCATCCGGATCCGACCTGCGGAAGAATACGTAACACAGAGCTCAAGAGCTTCCGTTGCTCAGAATATGATCTCACAAGACTAGCTTGGGTGATTTGATTATCCTTTTGCTTTTTTTTTTTTTTTTTTTTTTAAATGAAATGTGGATCATGAAGCTCAAGATTGTGTTTGTCAGGGTTCATTTCAGGGTCTGTAGCTTTAAACACAGCTGATCAGCTGCTGCGCCCCCTTCAGGACGAACACTCTCTTTGCTCTGTGACTGACAGCGACGGCGACATGGCCGTGTGCGACACCAGAACTTTCTACTGCTTCTAGCTTTCTCTTTGAGTGACCGTTACCACGACAACATCACTGAAGCTGTCGTTCATGGCTGGTGTGGTGAGTTGGCGGAGACAGAACCCGTCCAGAGCCGCACATGTGACTCAGGCTGAAGGCGAGGCAGCAGTCGGCCTCGTCGTTTTCTCACAGCTCTGGTTTTGCTCCTCAAACTTTATGAGATATACAAAACACAACAAAAATGGACTTTCCGCATATGACACCTTTAAATTCACAACAGAACCTTGAACAGCACCTCAGTGACTGACGTAGCACAGGACCCGGTTCTGTGTGAGTCATTCTTCACATGAGGATCACAGAAGCCTTGGACGGGGATTTATGTTCATGGGTGGCTATATTGAATCAATCAGTTCCTGCATTCATCTGGTGTTAATGACAGCATTGATCCTTATGGATTTTAACACCCTTGAACAAAAATAAAAACTACAGCACGCTGAAAGGTTGGGAGCGGTTTCCTCCAGATGACGGCGACTCCTGACGTGAGTTCCTGAGTGTCTTTCAGGATAACGCATTAGCATTAACATTCTTACTGGATGCATTCTTGTGTGACTACAAACTGCTCCTTACCCTCAGTGCTCATGTCAGGTGTGGGCATCCACACATACACCAGCCCAGAGTCTCTGTAGAGGTGCGTCATGGTCTCTGGGCTCATGGCCTCCTCGGGGTTTCGTCTGCAGCCGTCAGAGTTGTTCACCACGTCCCACTCTGTCTGGAAGTTCATCACTGCAGTAATGCCCAGTTCGTGCTTCATTTGTATTGTCACGTGCTCCACCTGTCGAGGGCAGCTGCCCAGCCAGACACGAGGCGTCAACCTGGACCGACCAACAGGGATGCATCAGTCATTTACTTCTACAGTGAAGAGATCATGACATGCTCGAACTTGTTGAACTTCAGAAGAATATTTGTTTCCTGAGGCTCTAGTAGCCGTGCCAGTCAGAGAAATTTAACAAGACAATGCACAGGTACATACAATCAGATGTGTTTTTCAAGAGGGACGAAGGCGTGGAGGACCTTGGAGATACAAAATGAAATCTGATGATGAATTGTCTCTGTATCGTATGAACAGATGGTTTAAACGCTGAGAGGCTGCTCCACAGGAACTATTGTGGGACCAGAGAATGTCAGGTTACACCTGAACAAAATCATGCAGGTTTTTGAAAACTTTTACAAAACCATCAGAGGGAAGAAGAGCTCAGCAGGTGACCAACAAGCCAAAGCTTCCACAAGTGTTTCTTCCTCAGACCTCTCACAGCAGATGGTTCATACTAACAGTGGTAATTATAGTTTCCTACAGGTAGTGCAGCTCAGAGAGCTTCACATCAATAATCATGTCCCTCTAATTTTCTCCCTGAATACTCTGTTTGAGGCGGCACTCATTAGTATGCGAACAGTCAACAGCCAGAGGAGGTGACACGTAAAAGGAAGGACGGCTGCTGCTAATCGCTGACGTCCCAGAGAGGGTTAGAGGCAGAGCAGTGAAAGTCTTTGGTCTCAGTGTGTTGTGAACAATGACCTCCCTTCTTTAGATCTGTTTGCCTCTTTCTTTTCTACACAAACAGCTGTGAGTGACTCAACCGTCCTTTTTCTGCCACTTTGGTGTTCACTGGGTGTCAGTTCTGCGTAACCCAGTGGCCTCGATGAAACTGAAAAACTACGCAAGAAGTTGCGTAAAACCATTTGTCTTAGTTATCCCGTATGACGAGTAGCGTACAAGCAGTTTAGTTTAATGCATTTTTAAAGGAGATACGACCGAGGTTGGAGGATTCCAGGAGACGGTTTTCTGTATGTTTTAACCCCCCACTGTCGGGGACTGCTTGCTGACTGCTGAAGCTTAAAGGGAATCCAAACGTTTTGGATTGTTGGGTGTTTCTGTCTTTGTGAAGCGCTATGAGATGACTTGTTGTTGTAAATATGCGCTATACAAATAAAATTGAATTGAATTGAATTAATAGTGCAGAATCTCACCAACAGGAAACCTGTTTTCCAATACAATCTAATTTGATTTAAAATTTTGACTCAAATTAAAAAACATTTCAAAATGTCACAGCAACACGGCTGCATAACGATCAGACGTCCTCTATGACTAAAAACTCTGCATTACCTGCTAGAAAGTGAGTACAGAGTCCCCTCATCGAACACCGAGCTGCTGCAGAGGGTGTGCATCATACTGGGGGCGCCGCGGACGCAAAGTCTGAGAGACTCATTTAAAAGCTATTAATAGGCAAGATAGAAAGTCACAGGGCTTCCTCCTGAACACAGGTCCTTGACATAAGCCTTGTAAGGTCTTTGGACACAAATTAAAACCTGATGGCACAAGCCAGGCTCACTCATTCTTATGCAAGTGTGTGCTTGCTGCCTCATGAGTCTGGCGCTAATTTCTGCTGGGCCTGCTGGACAATGGTACCGAGTCTGCTGCTTACAAAAGGGAGGAATGTATGGGCAGGTGGATTCAGTGTCTGCTGGACGCTGTGTGCTCACTTTAAAGCTTCAATCATAGGTTCAATTGGAGTACGAACATGCGTCTTCCAAAGGTCTCCTTGGATCGTGTCCAGCAGGCTGGTCCAGCTGCTGAAGAAACGACATCTCCAGTTGTAGAATGATGAGTCTGCTGTGCTTCAGCGTGGCACGTGTCATCAGGTATCTCTGTTTCTACAGTCAGTGAGGCAGGACACAGTCAAACATGTTGGTGGACTGTTGGGTTGTTTTACGCAAAAGACGACTGATGTGCTGACGGACGTTCGCCCTCTGGGGCAGCAGTCCCTGAAGCGTGTGAATGAAAACAACAGATGTCACTCGTTTTGAAGGCTTCAAGGTAAAACCAGGGGATCACCAGTTCTGAAGCATTTATCAAACCTGAATCAATTATCAAACCCACTTAACAATGTTTTGGGTCCCTTAATTCATTTTAGCTTGAATCAGTTCAAAACAACAACATCTCAGAGATGCAGCTTAGGTTTGCGATCAGCTGTTGCTGGATGAGAAGTCAAAAACAACAGAGCTCGAGTGGCTATTATACATTAGCTAGCATCATCCTTATTTAAACGAGCTAAACTCATTTTCACGACCTGCTGCAACAACCGGAACAGAAGCAGGCAGCAGAAGATCTGTTGTTTGGTACTAAATGTTCTGACATGACAGCTGATCTGATTTTCATTTCTTTTCCATCCTATTGGTCCCCAGTGTCACACATGTTTAAAATATGAACATATAAAAAGTCTAACTAGAACTTGTGTACAGCTGAATCGCCACTCTGCTGACCTGCAGAAATCCAGTGTGTTAAATATCGGTGAAGGGTTACGGATATGTCAGAGCACCGAGACCAACAGACAAACTGACTGCTCAACTGATATCGCCATCCCAAGAATTCAAGTGAATAATTCAGCTTAAGCAGGAGAAGAATCCCAACTGTGTCCAAGCCAGTTGAGGGAGTGTTTTCATATTAGATTTTAAAAGGGAAAACGTGAGACGTCTTTGGGTGTCTGGAAAGGTGATGGAATCGCGTTGGATTCTCAAAAACTGCAAAAATCATTCAAGGCAGAGCGATAAATAATGACAACAACAAAGTATTAGGTAACCTCTGAACCCCACAGCACACATATGGCATATCATCTTTCTAAAACAATAGTTTATCAGAGCTAAAAGCTGCACAAACAGAAGGAACCACTCATGACTCAGCTGTAGCCCCAACAGTCACCGGACTACTGGGCTGAACTGGACGCTGTGTGTCCACAGACGAGCTACAGCAGGAAGTCAGCAGGGAAACAAACTGTTCACAGGTAGAAGTCTCTCTTCAGTACTGCTAACAGCATGTGGAGGAATGCTGTATATGTTGATTCAAAGTTGTTGCTTTTTTAAAATAAATGATAAAAAATAAATTCTGGTTTCTGTTGTCAACGTTACACACCACTAAAACCACGTCTAAGCTCTCTCCACCTGTAGCTGTGGTTGTTCTGTTTCCACAGAGGTGCAGGAATTTATCCTGTAAGTACAAATATGAGAGGAGCAAAAGAAAAGCCTGAAAGCTGCTTGGGGTTCAGAGGGTTAAGGATCCGTGTGAAAAAAGATTAGATACATGTATATGTTTCGGCAGCATTCAGCGAAAGCAGTTAAATTATCTTCTTCATCGAGATAATATAGGCTCCAAACAAACAAAGCCACATGTGAAGTATAAGAAGACAAAGGCAGACAATGAAGACTCCTGTCATCACACAGAATAACTATCAATCACTGGAGCCAGCCACTGGACGGGTTACCTTGAAAATAAAAGTGAATTCTCAATGATGCCCTCTGCTTTCTATTGAGATCGCTAGCGAGGTCGTGGAGGTGACAATACAGCTGCTGCTGGTCTACCTTTTGAAAGGACAATCATCTTCAAAGTGACAGAAAGCAATTATAACTAAAAGTGGGACGGCAAGGTTAAAAAACAAAGGAGTGAGCGGGTATAAGAAAGCCGACCAGGCTTTGTCTTTGTACTGTGAGGCAGGGAGGTTGTGGCACGAATAACACCCAAGCACTGAAGAAGAATTCTCTCTGACAGATTGAGTATCAGAGAGAAGCAGACGATCAGTTTGCATGGAGGATATACATTAATGCACATCCGGTGGACTAAAGGTTAATACGGCATCGCCACACTTTCTACGGTTGGGTTAAAGCAGAGTTAGGGTTGGGGTTGGGGTTGGGGTTGGGGTTAGGGTTAGCGTTGGGGTTGGGGTTGGGTTTGGGTTTGGGTGTCCAGCTGGGGGCCTCTCACACCTCCGTCTGTCTGAGCCCTTGTTCTGCCTCTCTTCAGACTGTAAAGCATCAAGTGAAGACAACGTGCCCAGAAATAAGTTTAACAACAAAAAACAATCACACTGGAGCACAGAAATTAATTAGCCCCAAAGGACCTCATTACTTCTGTGTTTGTATTATTAGGTAAAGAGGCAGAAAACTGGTTTTGAACATTTTTGTTTGAATGAGCATTTTGTTGTTGTGGAGGGAGCGTGAGGGATCTCTGGACTTCTGCAACAAGTCCTCCTGCTGCAACCATCTGTAGATTACACTCTAGAAGATACAGGTGATCCCTGGAAGCAGAAATGGTTCTTCAAAGTGGCGCAATCAAAGAACCATCTTTAGTTCTCCTCCTGAAAGAACCCAAAATGTGCCTCAAAGAACCAATAAACATGGTTCCTTTAGGCACCATAAATTGTTTTATCAAAAGTAGGTTCTTCAGGGAACCGTTTTCACGATATTTCTTTGTGGACCCGCCTGGTTCAGCAATAAACTTCTTGCAAATGGTTTTTAAATAATTTTTCAGAATAAATGGTTCTTTGAGAATTTTAAATCAATGTGTTGGTTGAAAAACAAGCAGATGAACATGTTGTTGGTATTTAATAGCGTCCCCTGTTATGTTTTTACTTATAGACAAGTAAGGTCTTAAAAATGTCCGCTTCTGAAAAGCACAAAGTCCATCTAACAGACTGATCAGTCACAAGATCCCTGTGAGCAGAAGATAGAAAACCTGAACTGGTGGATCTAAGCTAAAAATCAAGGCATCAGACATTTGATTTTAGGAACTGTAGGTGTAAATGCATCATTTCTTGGTCTTTTATTATAATACATCTAATATTTTGCGTTCTGAGTTGTTGATCACACAGAACCACACATTACGAGATGTTGGCTGGGATTTGGGAAACAGTGACGAGACCAATGAGCAATCCATGAATTATGAAAATAATGTGCAAATTAGGGCTGCAGGTGTCTCAGTGGTTAGCACCGTGGCCTCGCAGCTAGAAGGTCGCCGGTTGGCGTCCCGGTGAGGACACCCGGGATCTTCCTGCGTGGAGTCTCCATGTTCTCCCCGTGCAGCGTGGGTTCTCTCCGGGTTCTCCGGCTTCCTCCCACAGTCCAGAAACATGCTGAGGTTAATTGGTGATTGTAAATTGTCCGTAGGTGTGAATGTGAGTGTGCTTGGTTGTCTGTCTCTAAGTGTAGCCCTGTGATAGACTGGTTACCTGTCCAGGTGAACCTGCCTTCACCCTGAGTCAGCTGGGATAGGCTCCGCCCCCCCATGACCCTAGTGAGGGTTAAGGTGTAGAGATGATGGATGGATGGATGCTATTACCTGCCATCAAGGAACTTCAATACAAATCAAGAACCTTTAGTACAGTATGTGAAGAAGCATTTTGTAAATAAAGAGGTTTTTGAGCTGGTGCTGGTGCTTTAATAAGAGGGTTCTCTGAAGAACCAATTCAGAACCATTGTTTTTGTGAGAGTATATTAAACGCCAAAATGACTGAAAGTCTTATTTTTTTACTTGCTTCGAGTTCACTGAACATAGCTTCTGCTCTCGTATCTGTACAGTAGAGATTAAGCGACTTAACCCTGTTCAGGACTTCTGGGGTGTTTTGGACCCCAGGCCGTTTGGTTCAGGTGACGGGTATTGTTTTATTTTTTTCATATAAAACAAGGGATATTTTTCGTCAACATATCAGAACATTTATCTAACATAGTATAAAAGTCTATCATGAACACCAACAGATATTTTGCACACATTCTTTCTTGGGGTCTGATGGACTGACAGACCTTCTACATCTGGCACCATGAAAGTCCTGAATGGGGTTAAAATGGCCATTGGGTTTTGTTTAGCATAAAGATATATAAGTGCAGCTTATGTGCAACATATACGCCTACCAGCAGCTCTGCAGCTCAGCACGTACACCTCAGTTAGCATTCAGCTTTCTGGGCCAACTTTCCATATACCTCCACCCACACCGCCCTCCTCACAACCTAATGTCTGGCTGCCAACTGACTGTTATTACGATTCCTAAAGTCTTTTAATCAGAACTCTATCACTTGCTTCATGAAATCCAGACGCTCATGTCATCCCGCTATGACATCATGCAGCTGCTGCTTCTCTTGTCACTGTAGTACCTGGAGAAATGCATGGCCTTCTGACCGGCCACGCTGAGGTAAAACCTGGTGGTGTGTCTCATCTCGTCCGTGTGTCCCGTTTCCTCGATCCAGTGACCAATCGGGTGGCAGTAAACTCCATCCACCACGTTCCTCTCATCGTAGGAGCAGCATCTGTCGTGGCGTGGACTGCTGCCTGGTGGCACAGAAGACAGCAGGTTAGTGAGAGTACTCCCACTCTAGGATGTTTGAACAAATACAGGCACCTCGGCGTAATGTGAGACTTCATGAAATTTAATACAACATTTGCACAGTTCTCATCTTCAGTGACTAATCTACAGGAGCAGTGTGTTGACATGAAGGCTGCAACAAGAGGAGCGAGGAACAGGACAGAAACACCGAAAGGGAAGATTTGATTGCAAAGAGAAACAAATGTGAGCTGTGTGGAAGTATTTGGGTTACAGAGGGGATGTACTCTGTTGGCAATGTCTTGCAGTTTTTCCTCCGACGCGAGGCAGCACAACTACTTTAAGCACTTAAACTTCAGTATGACAGCTGCCATGTCTCACTTCAATGCATCCAAAGCACAGAGTGTATGAAAGATGGACGTAGCTGCCGTGACGTCACCTGTTGGTTTCTGCACTGAGAACATGAAGCCAGGGTTTTACTACTTCCTGGTTGACATCTTGGATTTTTGGAGCCAGTGACGCAAAAATTGTCAGAGGGGGGCGGAGCCATAGGAGCAGCGATTGGTCAGACGGATTGAGAGGCGGGCCCTCTCTGCCCGCCCACATTTACCGCCTTCTGCTCGCTTCGTCTGTATGGTCCATAGACTGTATAAAAGATGGACATAGCAACCGGCGCTGAAAAATGAAGCCAACCCGGAAGTGTCAAAAACCTACGTCCGCTAGCTGCTGGCTCCACAAAGCCCTGGCTCCCATAGACTGGAACTGGAAAAGAAGTGATCACAGATCACCAAATACTGCATTCCTACAGCTCAGGATTGTTTTCTTGTTTTCTTATTAGTTTTCATGGTCAAATCCAGAGATCAGGTGGCCAATCTGAAAATAAATCAATACTGAATTTTTTAAAAATCGTCAACATTTTGCGGGGCAAGGGGCGTGGCTGGCTTGATTGACAGTCGGCAGCGACCATACAGACGAAGCGAGCAGAAGACGGTAAATGTGGGCGGGCAGAGAGGGCCACTTGCTGCGCAAAATGTTGACCATTTTTTAAAAATTCAGTATTGATTTATTTTCAGATTGGCCACCTGATCTCTGGACCTGACCATGAAAACTATCCATCCATCCATCCATCTTCTCCCACCTATCCGGGGTCGAGTCGTGGAGGCAGCAGCCTGAGCAGAGCCGCCCAGACTTCCCGATCCGCACACCACGAAAACTAATAAAAAAAAATATCCTGAGCTGGAAGAATGCAGTATTTCATGATCTGTGATCACTTCTTTTCCAATTCATTTCTATGGGAGCCAGGGCTTTTTGGAGCCAGGACTAGCGAACGTAGTGATGCTGCAGGTTTCTGACACTTCCGGGTTGGCTTCATTTTTCAGGGCCGGTTGCTACGTCCATCTTTTATACAGTCTATGGTCCAAAGCAACACAAACACCAGAATTAAGGGTTGAGCTATGAAAACTATGAGGCTCCAATCAGCTTTTTTTAATCTGTCATGCAGATGCACTCCTCTACAAAATCACCCCAATCCTTCTGAAATGAATAATTCTTTATAAATAGAGGTTATCGAGTCATCCCGTGAATACTCCTGTTTTTCAACATCACAATATCTACCGCAGAAGAACACAAAATGACATCCTGCAGCTCTGGTGGGAAATATTCCACTTTCAACTCCTCTGCCTTCAAATCAGATCAAATCAAACTGATTTATATTGCACATTGAAAACAATGTGAGTCGACCAAAGCGCTGTAAATGCTATCAGTCAGGCAGAAGCAAAAACGTGAGCAGAAAGCAAGACGGGATAAAAGGCTTTAAAATCAATTACCTTCATCTGACTTGTACAGAAACAATTTGTAGATTTAATGAAACAGAACTGACTGAATCTTTTTTCTAAATATCATGCATTGCTATAAACAATCCAGCGATACATGAAGGAGTTCAAATCAGCATCACGTCCATCAGCAACAACATTAAAATGCTGCTTACATGCTAGTGAAGCAATAATAATATCAGTTCAGTAGTGGTGTGCATATGTAACACACCAACACCCTAAAGCCCTGTTCAGCATCGCATGGACTCCTTCCACTGATGCTGTGTCGGGTCTGGAGGCCATCAACCTGAATGTTTGGTGAACAGCCCTGATCTCAATAGTTTCCTTAAGTTTTGGCTGTTTTTTTGTTGTTGTTTTTTTTGCTTTAAAAAACTGTCAAATTTCATCAGTGCTCAGTTCAGAAATTCTAAAGGCAGCAGAGGAACGTTCTTATAACGCCATCCACTGATGCATCAATAGGAATAAATGCCATGATAATAAAAGCAATGTTTTAATGAACATAACAGAAAACGGAATGGGAATCACAGTACAAGTTCAGATCAACAACAAAAATAAAGCCAGAGGTGAAAATAAAAGTTTTAAAAAAACAGCTACAAAAACACCTTCACATCAGGGGAAGCTTCAGGAAGACGCTTTGAGATGATACTGACATCTGTACCTGGGGGACCTGCTGAAAAAACATCTTCATCAATCACACCGACTGTTAAGGAAGGAGCTGAAATCACATGTGAGCTTCAGTGAAGTGGATTTGTGGGTTCAAAACACTGCTCAGTGCAACACTAAGTTCTGTCTCTGACCTCCAGGCAGCAGATTTACTCCGTTTATTATCAGTGATTTATTGGGGTTTGGGGACTTTATAGGTGAACTTTATCTCCTCACCAGCACCTGCAGCGTCTCTTCTAGACTATTTCAAGGCTCATTCACCCACATTACTGGTAAATAACATTATTACTAAAAATCTAAACGAGATTAATGACATAATGTAAAATCTTCCTCTAGATGGTGGTTCAGTGTAACTGGGGGCCAGCTCAGTGGTTCTCAAACATTTTAGTCACAAGACACACTTTTACACAAGATTGTAGCTGCTGGTTCAAGCTGACCTGCACTTCAGACAGGACACTGTCAGATTCACCCGTCCATCCATCCTTCATCTCTACACCTTAATCCTCACTAGGGTGGTGGGGGGTGGAGTCTATCCCAGCTGACTTAGGGTGAAGGCAGGTTCACCTGGACAGGTAACCAGTCTATCCCAGCTGGCTTAGGGTGAAGGCAGGGTTACAGATAGACAACCAAGCAGACTCACGTTCACTGGTTTGGATGTAAACATGAAGGCAGAACCAGGACATTATGGTTCATTAATCAGAATCAGAACTTTAAATTAACGGGCCTGTGATGCACATCGGGCAGGGTGAAGAACTCTACTAAAGCTCATGCATTTGATTTTTTGTGGACTGAACATCACTGACTGCTTCTGTTCTCCTTCTCAGCTGTGTGGTACCATCTCAGTGGAACCGGTTCCGGTCTATTTTACAGCCCCTCCGCCTTAACGTTTTCTGTTTTCTGTATATTTAACCCATATGCGCTATAGATTAGGCACAGAAGCAGGATTTCTGTGTGCACTTCAACATGTCTCATGACGTATTCGGCTCTCGCTGGAAAAGTCTCGACTGGAGCCTTTTAAATAAATGTCACTTTACCGCCATCCTGTGGCCGGACGGACTCATTACACGACAGGACCAAACATGGCGGCGGTGTTTGTGTGCTGGACCCAGCGGCTCCGCGCTCTCTGTACTCTACCTTCCCAGACATACGAGCCTCGGACTCTCTGGACGAACTTGAACCACAGAGGGTCTGTGACCGGCTCGGCCAGCTGCACCTCGCCGGTCCACAGACACGGTTCCTGCGGGGAGGGCAGCTTCTGAGAGGCCGTCAACCGAACCGCTCTGTCCGGGTCCCAGTGGCCCATCTCCATCCGAGAACCCGACACGAAGACCTCCACGTCCGAGGACTCCGGGGTGAGGACGACACCGAACCTGAACAGCATGGTTCCAGCCGGGACTGACCTCAGTCCGTGGACATGGTGATCCCGGGTTTATATGACCCGTACTGCAGCTGCTGCGGGGGGGCTAACCCGGGAAGACGCCCCCTAGAGGCGGTACAGAACCCACCAGACCTGGACACAGTTCTGTTGACCCAGTCCGTTTCCACTCCAGCTGGTTTCCTGTCTCAGTGTGAGCTCCTGATTTGTTATTGATTTGGTGACTCTTACAGCGCCTAAACGAAGCCACAGCTTCTTGAAAATATGCTGCAGCTCTACATGTCTGTTGTACGATGAGTTCAGCCTCTTCACACGTCACTGAATCATCCACTGTTCCTTAATCATCAAATACCTGTAGCCGTCACGCGGCAGTAAGAGTGACACGAGTGTCTCCACGTGAAAAATGAGCGTTTGTATGGATGTGGCCCAGCAGAGTTCACTCATTACTGAGCAGTGAGAAGGTACTGTATAGCATCTAGTCACTGAACAGAGGCCCTTCCATTAAACCAGTAGGAGCCAGTAGGACTCTTCCAACACCAGCTATACAATAATACAATAATATTGTAAAGAAATGCAGTTTCTTACCTGAACTTAACAAACTCCATTTCAGAACCGAGTCACAAGAGCCGGTCCACTGGACAGTGAAGACAGCAAATGAGACGCTTCAGCTCTGGCTGGATGAGTTAAATGTGAGGGAAGTCAAATGTCAGTCACAGGTCTCCACTGTCATATCAGCAGCCTGTCACAGTTCTATAAACTCACCACAGCAGAGAGAGGTTCTGGAAAGAGAACTCACTTTGATTCCCACTCCAGAGCTGGTGAGGAGCATGGACCTTCAGAGGGACCTGTATCACAACACCAGACCATTTCACTTAAGAAACCAGTTTCCATTACAAACCATTTACAAACCATCCACTTGGGAGCCCAGATCAGAAGCATCCTCACAACCCATCCACACTCTCATCCAGAAGGATCTGGATCGCTTCACAGATGATAGGCCCAGACCACCAATCAGATAGAATCCCACCAGGAAAACAACTTAATAAAAATAAAGACATAGTTATCAAACCAGCAGACACAAGATCACAAATCCTGATTATGGATACATTTCAGTTCCTTTTTGG